GTGTCCCCAAGTAATTGAAAGCTAAACATATATGTCAATTTATCAATTATACACTAGTCTCAAAAAATTTAGATTAGTGGACATTTAATTTTCCTTTAATCCAAGCAACTCTTACCACACATATGATAATTGCGTATTATTGTCCAACATTTGATATAAAAGTATATGTATCCAAACATAAACAAAATAGGATATCCATAGAAATACTACCATCAGTTTCATGACCTCAAAGTGTACATAAATGAATTGTCTAAAAAAAAAATTCTTGTAAATTTGCTTTTCCTTTCCAAGAGAGGAGGCATATTTGCCATCCCCAAACAAAGCCCGTAATTTGTAATTTAATTTCACAATACCATTTATGCTTTAGATAAAACATCAGTAAGTACTGAAAATTATCATGTAACCACTTTATAATAATTCATACACTTTTAAAATACAATAAACACCACATTAATGTCTAAATAACTGAAATGTATTATAATTAGGGAATCATAATCCTCAGTTGTAAATAACATTCACTTAATGATAAATATTTAATTCACAAAAAAAATGTTAATCCCACTAAATGACATATATTGAGTATATTATCATGGAAAACCGCAACTTTTGCCAATCAACATAACGAAAGCATCAAGGATCAAGCTTTAATTTCAACATTTTCAAACAACTGACAAGCAAATAAATTCTCATCATTCACGTGCCAAAAAAAAAACTCTCTATTGAACATTAAAATGTTTAGCCATAAATATAATTTGAAGGAATTCATTCACAATTTTTTTCTTTAAAAAATTCCACACGAGCCATATAGATTCTTTAATGTTATAAACACCATTAACTGCCAAATAAAACCTTGATCGTTGAACAAAAATTTGCATATAAAGCTTCAAATTGATTAGGCTAATTAGTGACAAATATTACCTTTGCCTTTTAAATTAGCATATGGAGAGAATTTCTTTTCTCATCAAGCAATTCTCACCTTAAACTAACAAACTGCACAATTAAATGTATACATACTCATACACGTCCACTCATCACTAGAATCATTGGCAAAATTATAGTTCATATGCATACCTGTATGTAGCAAAAAACCAAGCTGCATTACCATAAAATGAGGTCGGGAGCAGATAACCGTCATCCGAGGCTCATTATCTAGTTAATAGCTCTTAAGATTGATGGCGACAGCTAGTGAAATCTAGTCTGAGTCGTGCCCAAGGACACTATCCTTAAGAGCTATTCCACCACACCGGGATAATCGCACGGCAACTCCCCAGAATTAAACAGACTCTTCCTACTAAAAGTAAGGACACAAAACAACAGAAATTCATAAAATAATCTCAGGTATATGCACAAAGAAACAATGTGGTAAAAGAGGAGAGAAAGGCTAAGAGCATAAAAGCTCCCCCAGAACATGTGGCAAGCACTGCCTTTTATAGGCAAATCTCATAATTCTGGGTCATAAAGTCACCTTAATCACAATTAAAAACAGTTTCAAATAATAATGATGTTTAAATTATACGTTACAAAATAATAAATAGACTTAAATAATAATTAATATTATTAATTTATAATAATTCCTTTTGAAATACTGAAAAATATTTTATAATATCCAACATGTCCCACAAAAAATCATCAATTAGTTATAATTTATGTCTTTAGTACTTGGATAGCAAAGTCATCTAAAATGTGTCAATTAATTCTGATATATTATTTTGATGATTGTTACTTACTAAATAATATTTGTGCATAACAAACATAGTTCTAGAATTGGAATAACATCCATGTCCAGGAAATAAAAATTAAACTATAAGACATAATTATATATCATTAGGCACCACTCTATTGATTTATTTGAATACATCTTTAATTTAAAGAACATAGTAATAATCTCCCTCTTCTCATCTATGTTTAATTGTTTATAATGGGCAGGACATTGAGTCCTCATAGTCATATATTGGTCATGACATGTATTGAGTCTCGAGGCGTAGAAGTTGATCGACCAACGTTAGAAAGCTGTTGCTCGATCTGCGATTTAGATAAGCGGAGAAAAACTCTTGCCACTTAGGAATGCTATTTTTTCACCCAGAATATGTGATTTTGTTCCAGGAGCATAAATAAACTTCCTAAGAAAAATAAACATAAAGTGTATATTTGAAAGATATGGAGGATATAACAAATAATTATGTAATACAGTATTGCAATAAAACAAGTATTGAATTCTCATTTTCCATGAGAAACATACCTGTAGTGCCACGTGAAGTCTCCATCACCATAAACCCTTGAGAGTTCCAACAAAAATTCTAAAAGTAAACAAAGTCTTCAGGATCATTTGCATTGTTACTGGGAAATACCAGTGTCCCTTTAGACTTATTACGAATATACAATGTCCCACCCATAGAAAAACACTTCAATGACCAAACTTTTCAATCTAAAAACGTGCTGTTTGCCGTGAGCAAAAGAGCCATGAGCCGTAGCCAACAGTTCCACTTCACTGATTCAAATTCAAAAATTTATAATTAATTTCACACATTTTTAAAAATTATGAATTAGGATTTTATAAAAAGCTTTAGATATTTATTTTCTAATCTAAAAAGAATTACTAAAAATATATTACCATTTCCCTTTGAAAATCTTTGATTATAAAGATAATTCATTTTTTATCTTCTTACGAGCCCTCATTGATTATAAGTTATTTTTTAATATATTTAAATACTCTTAAACTACATTAAAATATTACTAACCTAATTAAATTGAAGGGTAAGAATTTGATGTTACACTATCATTGTACAATTACATCGTTTAGGGTTCAACAGAGTACATTTAAAGGATGCACTTGTCTGAAGTATATTACCACACCTGGATGCATGACAATATTGTAACAGGATAACATGTAGTTATGTGCATTCACGACCCAATCTATTGAGATTGCATAAATATGAAAAGTTATACTTCTTGAAGTTCTTTTCTTTTCTTTTCTTTTTTCTTTTTTTTGCAAAAGTACTTCTTGATGTTCTTGAATACGGCAATATCAAATAAGAAGTGAAGTGAGTCATAAGGATGAATGACTCGACAATAAGAATTTTGTAGGAGTTTAAGAAGCAAAGCTTATGAAATCATCAAGTTTTCTGCAGATTTTAAAGAGCCAATGTTTTCAATTTTCATGTGTGCAAAATTTGTCAACACATAAACACTAAATCTAGATGCATAGATCCTGAAATGAACACATCAATTGATCAAATAAGGAAAAAGGAAAGTAACATGAAGCCATAAAACCAATATCTGTAAATATGCCATTGCTATTGTTGTAAATAGGAGGTTTCACTTTCTTTTAAGCTAAGCTTAAAGCAGCATTGTGGAGGACTACTCCTTTTTCAAACCATAAAAAGATTATGATATTATATAAAGTAGATAGAGCTAGTGAAGATAAAGGGGAGATAGCATGTGAGTGGAGAAAGAGGCATCATGCTCTAGAAGAAATTATTGAAATTGTAATGACATTGACACTCTTCTCTCATAAAATAGAGTTACAATTAATATTGTCAGTACTTTTGTTGGGTTTGATGGACAAAATAACTCATTGAGATAAGAAAATTCACCTAACCATGAGCACTCACCCACTAATAATAGTGCTTGTAGCCATTGGATAGAGGATAGAGAAGGTGACTAAGGAGAAGGATACTAATGTGAATGACCTAACATGAGTAGTGTTAGTTGTGGTCGAGGCAAATCAACAAGGAAATGTGATCATAGAACAAAGTTTCAAGAAGATGCCATGGTTGTTAGATGAAGAACTTTAAAAAATATTTAAAGAATGTGGGTGTGATGCTGCAAGATTATCCAAGATATATTAGTTTTTTATGACTAATGATGATATGCTTAGGGCAGCAATTTAATGTTCAACTTCAATGTGAAAGGAAGTGACAGTAAGGATGCTCTTTAGTTCTAATTAAATTGTCTTTTAACAACTTATGATGAATTTTATTAGTTGCTTAAAATATGAGTCTTGGGCATTATTGATGACTTTTGTATATTTTGTTTGCTACATGCTCAAAGTGTAATTCTTGAATATTATTAATGACTTTTGAATATTTTATTAGATGCTAAATATGTAGCTCTTGAGCTTAGAATGATGACAATTATTGATCTTAGTATTCATGTAAAAAAAATTTGATATTAATATTTGTATTTTGGTTTTCTTGGTAGGTATTTTTGTATCTTGGTGTTACTTGTTTTCATATTATTTTTTAGGCACCATCCATTTCTAAAATCAATTTTTTATATTAGGGTGATTTTTTTGTATCAAAGGATTAAATTTTTTATGCGTGTTCTTTGACATGGGTAAAGGAATTTATTGTTAATGGCCAACATATATAATTATTTTTTATGAAATTTTTTTATCCAATGTGTTAATTTTTTTTAAATATAATTGTTAATAAAAGTGTCACTTAACTGGGCAAAAGAAGTTAAAAAATTAAAATCTTTTTGTATAAAGGTGTGATGGTAATTTAATCATTGTTCTCCTCCCTTCTTAAACTAAATAAATGATAACTAAAAATCCCTCCCTTTCTCTTAAACAAAACACATTCTATATATTTTTTGTTATACACCTTAGGTAGGTCTTTTTTCCCTCTCTAATGATATTTTTTAACAACTTCTTAGTCCACATTTTCCCTCCATCTTAATTTCTCACCTTAGTTTTGTGTTCATACTTCATAATGATTCTCTTTAAAAAAAAAAAACTTTAGAAGGCTGCAATTTTTTTTTTTAAAAAGTCTGATATCCTAAAATTTTATTTAGGACAATTTTGCTCAAACTTAAAAAAAAAAAAGTAATTTTACACTGATATCAGAGTTGATTGATAATTGACCATTAATTGGTCTTGTATTTAACTGTAATTGCTGGGTGGCATTTTAAAAAAATTAAGAAAAAAAGCAGACACACGTGTCCTCCACCTCTTCTTCTTCCTCTCCTCCTTCTTCTTCCTTGCTCAAGCGTTTTCATCTTCTTTCCTCACTTAATGAAAAAAACCTGATCCCTCATCTTCCTCTTTCTTCACCTCTCATTTACTCCTCTTCTCATTTCCATCGTCGCTTAACATGACTTCGTTCTCTCTATCGATTGAAAGCTCCTCAATCTCAAGAAAGAAAAGCTCAGCCACTTTTGATTTTGCTAGCATGACATTCTTAGCGGCCGCAATCCCTCCTTCGTCGCCATCGTTCAGTCGATCAATTCCACCACGACCTTCAGACTACTCAATATGATGAAGGTATAGGAGTCATCAAAGTGTTGATTTGGGTTGGCTTGTAAGTTGTAGGAAGCTTCTTTGAGAGCTTGGACGATTTGGAGAAGCTGAGTGGTGCGATGGTTGGGCGTGGGGGGTCTTCCATGGATATAGCGGAGAGGAGGGAGAGAGAGAGAGATTGACGAAGAAGAATGAACTTGAATATTTGGGTACAGGGTTTGGTGTCTAAAGAAGAAAAGCTGTTTTTTCGCTTGTGGAAGGAGATTTAGAAATTGGTAGACTCCAAAAACATTGGCACCTGGGATACATGTAATTGCTTTTTTTTTTTTTTTTTTAACGCCATTTGGCTACCACATGACGGCCAAAATCAAATGCACACTTACTAACGGTGGTAACATGGCAAAATTTTTGTTTTTTCCCCTTCGAAGTTTTGAGGTAAAATTACTTTTAACAGAAGTTTAATATATTATTGGACAAAAAATTTTAAGGCATTTTTGTTCTCCACTCAGTTTCTCTCAGTTTATTTTTATTCTCTCTTTCATAAGCTTTTTGAGCTAAGCCGCGAATGAATCGGACAGGCCGGTTTCAAAATTCTCACACGAGCACAAACTCAGACTCCTCTCAACCCATGGTATAAAATTCATCAATTCTTCAATCTTTCTTCCAGAACAGAACTAAGACAACATTTCTACTCGCCTCTTTCATTCTTTGAACACCTGAACTGTGAATTATGCCTCTACCACCGTCTCGGCACCCGCCGGCTTGCCGTCTTCACCCTAAGATTTGGCTAGCATGCGCTGGCACTTCCGTTCAAATACCTACGCTGCATTCCAGGGTCTATTACTTCTCTCAAGGCCACTTGGAGCAAGCCTACTCGGCTCCCCCATCCCTCTCCCGTTTTCTCCTGTCCAAGCCCTTCATTCATTGTCGCTTCTCCTGTGTTGAATATCTCGCTGATCCTGTTACAGACGATGTCTTTGTCAAGCTTGTCCTCCATCCGCTCAGTGATTTCGACGCCACTCGCGACCACTTTCGTCCTGTCGGCGAATCAGCCGAAGCACAGGGCGATTTCAATGTCGGGTCGTTTGCCAAGGTTCTGACGCCTTCTGATGCTAACAATGGTGGTGGATTATCTGTTCCAAGGTTCTGTGCTGACTCCATCTTCCCGCCGTTGAACTTACAATCTGATCGGCCGAACCAGACATCAGCCGTCACTGACGTTCACGGCGCCGACTGGGAGTTTCGTCACATTTATCGAGTGACACCTCGGCAGCACTTGCTCACTACTGGATGGAATAAGTTTGTCGATCACAAGAAGTTGATTGCCGGTGATTCCGTGGTTTTCATGAAGAATTCCGCGGGGGATATGTTCATTGGGATTCGTAGAGCTCTGCCATTCGGTGCTGGGAACCGTGGCATTTGGGCCGGAAGTTGCGCCGAGATCGGTGGCGTGAAAACTAAGGTTGAGGAGGAGCAGCAGGAAGATTGCTATACTGTTTTAGGAGAATTTTCGAGGAATGGGAGGGGAAAGTTGTCCGCCAAGGCAATAGCGGAGGCAGCAGAATCGGCAGCACAGAACAAGCCGTTCGTGGTTGTGTATTATCCTCGGGCAGGATCGTCGGAATTTGTGTTGAAGGCGGAGGCCGTGGAGGAAGCGCTGAAAGTCAGATGGACTCCTGGAATGAGAGTCAAAATGGCTATGGATACTGAGGATTCGTCCAGGACGGCCTTGTTTCAGGGCACGGTCTATTCGGTAGATCACGGGCATCGGCCAGGTTCTCCTTGGCGCATGCTTCAGGTGTGCTTGCAGCCTCTTTTCACCTCTTAATATAGTTTGCTTCGTGATAGTTTCCTACTGGAATTGTGAATTTAACTGGTCTGGCAAATATTGCAACTGATAGCCTATATGAAAGCTTTGTAGTGTGAGATTCAAATTCAGATGAACATTGACGAGCTGAAAATTGTGCATGGAAATTGAAATATTACACCGAATGTTTTAAAGACTTTTGTTTGCATGGGGCATGTTCAACTTCCAAGAGCTCGGGATTCTCTCGCAGTAAAGGGAAGGGAATTTAAGACCCACGTTTTGGTATTGGTAAAATCTCGTAAACCAATGACGCCATCAATGGGAAATAGAAAATTACTGGAGTAGAACTATTTGTGACTTTTAGATTTTACTTCCCGGGCGATCTTTTGAATTCTAGATTGCATGCATTTGTCTTTGTATGATTTAAGATGAGTCGGGATATCATCTTTGGCAAAAACAAATTTCTTTGTTCTATATTTACGATTACTCCCTAGTTAACACGGATCTTGTCACATAACTTTCACCGACTTTAGCTTCCAAGGATTAGCTCATATTGTTCTTTTGAGATCTAAGGCAGTACTAACACTTAACCTGTCTAGTTCTGGGTCTAAAGTTGAGAGTATCTAACAGAGGAGAAATGGCCAATTGTAAATGTGATTATCATTTTGAAGGCTTTGACATTGTGTCTTTCTTTCTATCCCCTTCATTTTTCATAACTCGGTAGTTTCCCATGCATGGTGCGATTTGCTATAGCTTTTATATATATATATATATATATATTAGTATTTAGTGTATTGATTGTGGTCAATAATATTGATGGAGAATTGGACATACATACATAGTTTATAATATGTAAATTGTTATGTAGTGGTGGGATGCCCTCCATTGGTGGAACTGAAAGAGGATGGGGAGAATGGAGATTAGACGCTTTATTTGAATTTATTTAAGAGAAGGATAGAAAAGGAGTAAAATCTATTATTTACCAATACCATGTTGCCTTATTTTGCTTTTTCTTTGAATTAATGAAGTGACATGCACTAGAGGCTCTGCCTCTCTTTTTTCCCATTCATGGTCATGTGTAGAAGTTGGGTGATTCCTGAAACGTGGTTGAGCTTATTTTCTGATTTATACTTTTTGCAATTATATGTTTAGGGTTCTCTGATCTATAATATTGGTATATTGCTGACTCTCTTGAGAAGTGTTCTGAGTTTCTATTTTTCTTATTTTTTATGGACACAAGATGCGCATCATGTTCATGATTGAAACCAACAAGCTTAACTGTGATATTTATTTATTCATTGTTTGTTCAAAACTTCCAAGATAAATGGCCTTAATTGTAAATTCGATGCTAGAAGAGCAATACACATCTTTTCTATTTTTTGCTTCTGTTTTTGATTGTGCTTGTCATGTCAAAATCTCCCAAAGATAAAAAACACCAAAAACAGATAGTTGGTGTTACTTTTTTCATTTATTTGTCTAGTTTCGCGTCAGCAATCATAATTGGAATTCTAATGATTGCCCCCCTCCCTTTTCACACACGCATGCAAGTTATTGTTCTGAATGTTATCTATTTCTCAGTGGACTACCGTTTGCTTCTACTCATTTTTTATGTCCGCGTACAAGATTACATGGGATGAGTCTGAAGCGTTGCAGAATGCAAAGCGGGTCAGCCCTTGGCAGGTTGAACATATTTCCCATTCACCCCTGCTTCACATAGTTTTTCCCCCAGAAAAGAAGTTTAAAGACTCTCAGTATGCTGGGTTGCCAATTGATAGAGAGGAAGACCCCTCATTTACCACGACTAGATTCACTAATTCAGCAGTGACACGCTTGAATCACTCATTGTTGAAGGACAATACTTTTCCTGCAGGCATGCAGGGAGCCAGGCATGATCTATCTTCTGTGTGGAGATTTTCAAACTTACTAAATGATAACACTCATCTTTGTGCTGCTTGTTCTTATGTGAAGTGCTCAGTGCCTGAGTTGAAAACCGTGTCAACAGATTTACACATTGGCAGTTCTCAGTCAGGCAACTTGTCACCTGATAGTAAGAGTAGAATTCACTCCATTGGCAGACAGTTTGCTGGGGCCCATTGCTGCAACTCAACGAAACTTGGTGCTGGTTCATTTCAGCTATTTGGTAAGGTAATTCAAATGAATCAGCCGGTTGAAAGTGGCTTGCATGGTGCTGATTTAACTGGAAATAAGGTTTGCAATGCATCTGAATGTACTGACAAGCCGCTGGATCATTCAACTTACGCAAAATTGGTCAACAGGTTTGATGTTCAGCGCCAAAAAGCATCACTAGTTGAGTCATGTTATCTGTGAAGTATAGTCGTGTCTGTGTCGTGCAGATAAGTAGCTGTACAGGTATTTTATATCTTAGTGCATCGAGTTCATAATCATAAATGATTCAAATGTTAAAACTTCTGTTCAGAAACCAATTTTTTACTGAAAAAGTGACTCGCTTTATGGCATTTATTGAACAATCTCCAATTCATAACAATTCATGGAGGAGGGGTTTTTCCATTTAAGTGGTAGATTAATTTTGATAACCTTATATGCTTACAAATCGATTGATACTGTTGATTTATTTTACCCCATCAAGGGTTGGCTATTTTATGATCCTCTTCTTTTTGGTGGATTTTCTTTTCCTTTAGCCATGAGTTTGGCAATTATTGAATTATATGTTTTTTTTTTAATTCTTGATATTGATGAGAATGACAAGATGTAATTCTTCGCATAAAGTAACTTTATACAATTACACTCAAAATGCTGGTTAGTTTGATTTAGTTGGTCTGTTTAAGGTTGCAGCAGCATTTTGAGATTAATTTTTAAGTTCAATGAATTCTTGCTTAATTTAGTTTGCCTTTGTGCAGGCTAGCTGGAAACTGACTACTCTTGGTGTCGTGGTGGTAGTGTTATATCTGGAATCTGGAACCATAAGTCTTACGACAGAGGGATATGGCATTGTGTTGATACAGTACACTTTCTTTTGGGATGTGTCAGCCACTTCCTCCTCCTCCTCCTCCTCCTTCTCCTCCTTCTTCTGTTTTTTTTTTTTGGGGGGGGGTGTTTAAAGGTTAGAATCGTTAAGTATTTGTGGTGAATGAACAGCTCAGAGTATCTTAATATAGTACTATGATTGTATGCAGTAACGGACCAGAAAATTTAATTAATGGGGGCAAATTTTGGACCAAGTATAAATATGAAAATATTATATTATATTTTTAAATATTTATTAAATTAATATAAAAATATTTACTAAAATTAATTACTAAAGAACAAGTATGTTTTTATAATCATTTAATAGACAACAATATTTTTAGATATCTATGTTTCGTATTTTTAAATAATTAAATGGGATCAAAAATACAATTTTTTGGGGTTGGGGGCAAAATGAAATTTTTTCGGGGAGGAGGCAAGTGAAACTTTGAAGGGAATCATATGTAATTTTCTTCATATAAATAAAACCTAAAAATAATATTAGTCTTTTGTTGACACAAGTATGACCGTCGCTGATCGTGTGAAATTAACCCATAAATAAAATAACTTTCAAGGATGGAATAAAATAGAAAGAATGGAAAATAAATCTCATCTAAATAGATAAATGACAAAAGAATATCACAAAATAGTAATTATTTTGAAGTCTCTAGAAATTTGTCTCATACTAGATTTTTTCACAAAATAACTAGAGTCAGTGATTCAAGTAGGTTGGGTTTATCCAGATTTGACCCAAACTTGATAGGTCTAAATTTCTTGAGTAGTCCAAATGGCCAAATTAGGTTTAAACCTCTTCAGGATTCGAGTTGACCTAAATATTTAAATTATCAATTTTTTATTTTTAAAATTAATTATTTTTATTTTATAAAAAATATAAAATTTATTTTTTGGGATGCTAAAATGATGTAGAAAACTCAAATTTTTTTAAAAAATATATGGGTTTTAAAATTTAAAAATTAATATTGAAATACATCTTAAATGTAATTTCAAGATATTTTATAGATTTGTTTGTAGGGAGTATCAAGCATCATGTTGGGGGTGTTATGGAACTCAATAGGGGATTGGATTATGGGATTTCAACAAGCTCTAGGATAATCCAGCATCATTAAAGTAAAATTTAGTGCAATCAAGATGAGCCCCCTAGTGTCCAAATAGCTTGGCATTACCAAGATCTACATATACTTTGATTCACTTGAAGTGCTAAACCTGCTAAAAAGAGATTCTCTAGTCAACCATCCACTGCATAGCGAACTTAACAGAATTCACAACTTACTCTATGTAGATTAGCAAGTTGAACTTCATCATACTAAGAGGGAAAACATCACTTGTGCTGATTTTTTGGCAAGAACTAGTCATGATGCTTATAATGGGGCTCTTGATGATTCCCACAATTCCTATTGGCTACTTGGATTAGTACCTCAAAGACAAACCTCAAGTTGGATTGTAAGTTTTTTCTTTGATTTTTGTGACTAGGAGCTTCTCTTCTAGTCTTTCTTTCAAGCTTTTACTTGCCTTTGTTTTTCATAAAAAAACAAGAAAGATATTTTATACATTAAAAATAATAAAAAAATATGACAATATAAATATTTTTAATTTTTTAAAAATATCTATAATAATGTACTGAAATATATGGTATATTAGTATAAAATGACTTAAAACTTAAAAAAAATTATTAATGTTTAATATATTATAGATATTTTTTAAATGAATTTTTTGTATTTAAATATTCAAGGCCAAGCTCGAATTTGATCAAGATTGGCTTGAGTTTTTTGGGTCTATTTAGACTGGCCTGAATAGACTTGAACATTAAAAAATAAAAACATAATTTTACCAAGTTTGGCTCTAAATTTTTTTAAGTTTATTTGGGTTAACTTGTCAAACTTGGTTGAATTAACATATCTAAAAATAACCATAATATTTTCAAAAATAAATGATCATTTGAGTAGCAAATGACTACTTCCATTTTAAAATAGTTTGTAAAATGACTATTTCTATTCAAATAAATTCACATTGCCTTCCCGTTTCATTAAATAACTAAAATTCTTCCTCCATTTATAAATTAAATTATTAAAATCGCTCTATTTTATTCTCTTTTTTCTTTAAACATCTCTCACCTGCTTTCCCTTCCTTCATTCAACAAAAAGAAACTTTTTGGAATTATTGTTCTCGACCAACCCCCTTCTCTCTCTCTCTCTCTTTCAAATTTCTATTCTTATTTCTATATTAGCTATTTATTTATTCGTATTTTCCCCCAAGCCAAATAGAAAGATGGAATGACTTGCCACAATTCACCAAACGAGTAAATGCCCCGCCTTCAATCCCTCCAACGGCACTCGAGTATTGCAAGGCCATCACACCATGGCATTAAACATGCAAGGGAACAATCATTCTGAAGGAATGCCTGGAAACACATATTCCTCAGGGATCACCAAAATGATTAGATTGAATTGTTTTGATGTCACCTTGCATTGGTTTTCCTTTTTTCTTGATCCCCGCAAATGGGCGTGATTATTCAGCTTTACCCATACACTCATGCAAACTTTGCTTTGTGACATTTTTCTTTTCTTTTTGGAGAATAACAATTAAGGACCCAGAAAGGATGTTAATGTAAAATAAGGATTTGTTTACCGCTAAAATTTCAAAATTTGCCGGGAATTTATAACTTCAAGATCCTTATTTTACATGAACAATTCTTACGTGTCCTCAATTATCATTCTCTCCCATCTTTTTGTTTTTACTTTTTAGCAAATGGGAGATCAAATTATCGGTCTGGATTCCCCAAACGGGCAACATGGAGCATGAAATGCTTTCAGAAAAGGAAAATGATTTTCACCCTATAATACCTCTTTGTGGGGCCGCAGCTGTTCGTATGCCAGAGATTGGGATCATGCAAATTTTTTGCAGAATGCAGTTAGACACGAGTTAGCTTGTGGTGTGACATGTCCCTTTAGTGATCTGGTGGCAACTCAGGTCCTTTTCTTTTCTCTCACTTTTTATTTCATTTCCGGACTGGCTAGATTTATTAGGCAGTTTGCAGATTATGTGAGGTAGTTTACTGCTAGTTTTGATGTGAGGCTTATATTACTGGTCGCGAGGCAGTCAAGGTCTTCAATTTCTCCAGTATTGATTTTTTTTTTTTTATTTCGAAGTTAGAATTATTATGACTGTTCGGACTTCCAGGAGATCAATATTGAAACTATTGCTCAATGCCCCCCTCTTCTTTTCCTGCCGAGGGTAGAGGTCTAAGAAACAGTTCGTGAAGATAGCTAAGGATGGCTTGATTTACCAATCATGTCTCTTGTAAGCGAAAATCAATTTGCTAATGCAGGTGAGAAAGACCGCTTTGATTAGGCCCCTGTCTTCTGGCAAATATTACTTTTAATTGCAAATATGCAGTGTATGCAATAGTTTTGGATTTCTCCATGTTTAAATTGCTTGCGGACGTGTGCTGTTGCATCTTATTTGGTTCTATTCATAAAATTCCCAAATTTCAATTCTGTTTCGTATGTATTTAAATTTTAAAAATGAAGTTGCAAGACCATTTGATTTTGACCAGCGGGATAATGTTGCCTCAACAACCTAGGCTACAAAAGCCTCCATGCTCCAGTTTGTACATTTTTTTCGGTTTCTTTTTGAATAATGAGAATATTATCGAGCTGAACTGAAGCTACCCCTGAGGAATTGGGTGGAGACATTTGCTTACCACTCGCAGTTTTGCAATGCCAGGATTTGACATCTAATTGGAACCTGAGTGTGTGTGTGTGCACTCCCTCTGTTTCTATTTCTAAAAGAACCCATTATTTTTTATGAAAATAAAATTATGTATTTCAATAAACATTTATTATATATTTATTAAATCACCTCTCATAATTTATATTATTGAAAAATAATTAATGTATGCTTATGTTGATTAACATAAATTATTTTAGTCTAAATTTTTTATTTTTAAATATAATTATTATATTTAATTAATTTTTTTAAATTATGTGATATGATTTATATTATATATATATAAATAACGAGGGTATATCTGCGATCTGCGTGCACACTGCCAATAAGTTTTGCCGGGAGATTCCTTCGTTTCTCTCTATGCTCTATTCTTTAAGTAAACCCCCCCGAGCTCCAACTCTCATGCAACTCTCATGCGGGGTGTTTGAGTATCGGCAGGGCATCAAATCTGATGCCACTAAAGTTATAAATGGTGCAAATTTAATCTATAAAAATTATTACAATTTTTAATATTAAATTTATATTTCCTTTACTTAAAAATATAAGATATTTTTTAAAGAGTTGAATATTAAAAAATATGAAATATTTTTAATCTTTCGAGATGTAATTATTATTTTTTTTCAAAAGTACCCCTATTGATAATGACTTTATATTTATTAAAGGGTGTTTAATAAAGGTAAATATGAAAAAATAAAATTAATTGAAAGTACATAATTACTTTATTATGGATGAAATTCGATTGGAAATGCTTTGCATTTTTAAACGTAGTGAGTACTCCCCAATCCTATTCATAAACATTTTTAGAAGTACTTCTTAATTAAAAAATATAAGATACTTTATAATAATTAAATTATTTTTTAATTTTATCTTTTTTTAATTAGCATGAAGGTATTTAATGTAATTATATTACTATTTAAAGTTAAAGATAAAAATAAAAGTGCATCTCATTTTTTATTATAAAAAAATTAACTTTCTTAAAATGTGTAAAATAATTAAAAATATCTTATAATAAATATCGAAAAGGGCATTATTCAAAATATATTGCTAATTTATAAAAAATTGATATTAAATATAAATCATTCATATTAAATTGTCAAGACACGTGAACATATTTATTAAAATTTTTATCATTTATATAATTTTTTATTTTAAAAAATATAAAATAAAAAAATTAACTTTAAATTGTCAATTAATTTGGATAGTCTAAATTTAGTGAAGGGCTGAGGAGCGTTTTGGAAAGCCAACTCCACAGGACTGCGGGATGTAGGGTGAGCCAGTGAGGAGTTTTGTTTTCATCATCATAATCATCATCTCCGTTGGTTTCAAAGTGAATCGAATCAGACAAAAGCTTCCTGAGAGCAAAAGAAGATGCTTTTGATGTTAAAGCCAGCCAGCCCAGGAATGTCACGGTGCTCCCTCCCTCGCATTCCTTTGCCTCCTCCTACTATAACCACTAACGGCTGTCTTTCATTGCTCTGGACTCGGATGAAAGAAAAATTTACAGTGTTATCCGATTCGACCCGGTTTACCTTCCTACGACAGTCCATGACTATGCGCTTACCCTGTTCTCATCTTCCTTTTGCTTTTGAGAAAACTTTTCTCCTTTTAATATTACAATACAATACAATGCAGGAAAATCCCAAGTTTCCATAAAATTTAGCCCTCCTAGCTCCTGCAAAATCATTGATCTATCGTCAACTTTGTTTTGAAACCTAGAACCAACATTCAGTTTGAGAATCTTCTTCGTCGCCTTCTGCAGGAAATACTTGGCACCGAAGTTTCAACTATGGTAACTGTTAAAAAACAAAAAACAAAAAAGAAAGTTTAAGAGTACATTAGGTCCAGCTTCGGCTGATTGAGTTATTTCTGCAGCACTCGCTGATGTTTCTTTACCTCTTACTGCAAAAGTCCAAAAGCTTCTTCCTCCCTTCCACAATCTCATCAAAGAAATCGTCCAGCTGTCCGATGATGTTTTCTGCTCCAGATCTCAGAATCCCAAAACAGCCTCTCAAATTCTCCACTCTCTCTCTCATCCCGCTCTCTGTTTCCCACTCGATCACCATCCCCTGCGATACTTTTCTCTCTAATTCCCCTCTCAGCTCCTCCATCGCCATCTTCGATCTCCTGAACTCGTATAGCAGAATTCCCGGCGTCCCGTCGATCTGGGCGATCTCCCCTGCTACTCGCTGCTGTAATCTCGCCGTCGAGATCATAAACGCCGATCCGAAGAACAGGCAGCCTTCGTATCCCCCCAGTACGGAATTCGACGATTCCGGCCAGCAGTACACCGAGCCGTATAACAGAATCATGAGCAGCAACGAGCTCACGTTTCTCATTGCGTACAGGACTCCCCTGAACCCGCTGAATCCGTTCAGCTTCGATTCGATCGCCACCTTCTCGTCGAAACGCAGGGAGAGCGGTTGGATTCTCGTTTCCATTAAAGCTCGATTCTCCTCCTCCAGTCCCACCGCTTCTCTGCGGCACCCTGAGATTGCTCTTATTACCTGTTGAGAGAGGGGGGAAAACCTTAATGATTCAATACGAAAACTCTATTCCAAGGCTGTTTGATCGTTTATTTTAATATATTCGGGGAGGAAACAAAGAATTGTGATCGACCTGACCTGGCGACAGAGTTGTGGGGTTAGCTGACGATGAGAGTCAATGGAGGAAGTGATGTTGAAGCCAGCAGAGTAGTAATTCTCGATTCCAGAAATGCCAGACTTGAGGACATGGCAGGCTTCCCAGAGCTTGGAGCTTTCGTCCATGTACTCGTCGAGCCACTTATCACCTACAGGCAGGTGGAGCTTCTGGACGAGAAGGGTCAGCTGGGTGTGGAAGGATCGCAGAAGCGAGAGCGCCCTTTGAAGGAATTGAATTGACATGAAGTTATTGGAGAGGAAGACTCGCTCGAGATCGTCAAGTCCCCTGGTGAGAAAGGAGTAGAAGCCATTAACAGAGTTGGACGAAGAGGGATCCATTATAAGTCCAAGAGAGTAACGTGAATTAAATAGAAAAGAAAAGAAAAAGGAAAAGAAGGAAAAGGGTTAAAAAAGAGAGGAAAAGAAAAGAAAAGTGCGGAGAAGCAAGGAGAGGAAGGAGAAGGAGAAGGGAGAGGAGGAGAAAAGGTAGTGAAGAGGGGAGATATTTAAATTGAGAGAGAGAGCGAGAGAGAGGGAGGGGGGGAGGCATGAGAAAGCAGAACAAGAAAAGTGAAAAAGAATGGAAGAATGGAAGGGAGGGAATATCTTCAGAAGCACAGGTTTCTAAGGTTGAAAAGGATTGTTGGGGGCAATGATGGGTGTTTCCTACAGAGGGGGAAGGATGATTGGCAATATGCCATTTACTTGTTTCAATTAGCAGAAAGGAAGAGAGGTCAAGGGAGAAAACAACAATGAATTTGTAATGGAAACCAAGTAGTTATTCGCGAGGACGAAGATAGTTAATCAATTCTATGCAAGTAATATGGAACCGAGTCAGACACGCAACGTTAAATCCTTCAATTCATTTTCCCTTTGTTCTCTGCTATGCGCCCTTTCAAAGTTTATGACACAAAGATCAACACTCCGAGCACATTCAAACTGCTTCTTTTGATTACATTAATTATATAATTAGCGGAAGAACCTACGAAAGGAGGTAGCAGCAAGTGGGTTTTTGATGTTGAGTATATAAACGTGTGCAATGTGAGATTCAGACTTTGTGTCATGCAAGGTTTGACTGGACTCGTTGGGTTTGTTTCCGTGGCCTCCATTTTCTTCCCATCCTGATCCATGCAGCTTCCCCGTCCATCTGATTTGAGTGTTCATTGGCTTCTTCTTTCCCTATTTTCTTCCCTCGAGCTTCTGAATTGGCTCTTCGTCCCGCACCCTATTATATTGGAATTTGCAGTTTTGTTATTCCTAGATACACACTCTCTTGTTGCATGATGTGGCTGCTTCCACTTTTGTGCTTCGTAATTTTCTAACATATACGGCCAGTCTTTTTTGGCCATGTGTAATCCTCTCACTAAATTAATTTTCTTCACCACCTCTTGATCTTGTGACCCCAAAAAACAAAAAGGATTATGCCTCGTCATGCTCTCGCGTTCCCTCACCTTTTACCGTATTTAATTAATTACTTGAATTTAATTATATCATGAACTGGAATAACCAACAAGTAGCAAAATTAATTAATAAGAGTAATTATGTGCAGATGCTACATGTCATTGATTAAGCAGGCCTTACTGCCCATCAAGCGACAGATATTGGTAGGAGAAAAGGGATATAGAGCTCTCTCTGCGCAATGATTGCTCGGTATTGTGAGTGGGTCCTATTATGTGCGCATCTTACCAAATGGGTATTAATTGATTGATCGTTTTTATTCACCAATTGAAGGCCACGAAATGCTGTGTTTCCTTTATTCTCTTTGGAGAAATTAAAATACCCGATATGTGTGATTCTTTATCTTTCTTTTCTTATTAGTAGTGATTATCAACTTATTAGTATTTTATTCAAATAGTTGAGGAAGTGGGGAAGCGGGGGACCAAGCAATCTAAAGTATGCATTGGGCAAAGTAAACATCTTAATTAAATGTGGAAATGGATGGGTGCTCGTGGGCTTTCGGAGAATGAGACATTTCAGAAGTATGTTGGTCTTTTAAGATTTCATCGGAAAGTGAAGATTGGAATTAAGGATAGGTTTAAAAAGATTGCTCCATCGCATTGATATGGCCATTCCTCAATCTTCACGTCAGACAAATCATCTTCCATTTCTTGACTGACGTCTTTTATTCTTTTAGTTTTCTTCATTCAAAAGCTCGATGCATGGAACAACTTGAGTTTTATTGATTTTCTCGTTCTGGCCAAAAAAAGAAAAAAGAAAAGCTCGGGCAACTTAATCACATTAGCATTTTAAGATATTTCCTTAAGCATTTAAGAGAACAACATGGCATTTTTTTTTTCACTCCACGGAAAAGTGAAATTGTTTTTAGTTAAAGATAGAAGTTTTTTGTTTATTTTAATGTTGCTGTGATTCAACCAGCTGACCGGTTTAGTCAAATTGATTCTCATTCATCCAACCACTAAAGTGAGATGGGTTGAACACAGCATATATGATATATAGTAAAATGTATTGTTGATTGGATATCATGCATGATTATGGAGCTTGGAATGATCACAAGACCTGAGTGTGCCGACTATCCCAAATAAATAAAATGCACTATAGTACTAATATAGTTAAATTAAGTTGGCGTATTTAATTAAGGCTGGCGCTTTCAAACTAGCTCAAAAATGTAAACGAGATGCCTTCTATTCTTGAGTAGCAAACAAAATGGCTTCTGAGAATCCAACCGCTGCCTAGTCAGAATTGGTAGTCTGGATTTAGGATCTGCTGGCGCACAAGCCCTTGCCTGCTTATGTATAGTAAGAGTGTCATATTCCTCATTCAGCTGAGCAAAAGCTATGAAGATCCATGTGGGGTTCAATGAAATTTACCAAAACCAGCGGTGATGGGTCGTTATTGCAATTTCTTTCAAATTTCAATCCCATATGTGTACGGTTGAGAATAATTAAAGAGCCTATATATATGTGACATGATATTATTATTATGTACGAGTTTGCGCATGCATTGCAGTTATATATCTGTGGGCCCATTCGTAGACCCAAAGTAAACCCATCGAACGGATGGATTTATGCGATCACCGTCTCTTTGATATAATTTGTTTTAATAATTGCATCCTCATCATGATTTTCACCTGGAAATTAAGTCTGCGTACAAGAATATTTCATTCTTTTGCGGATGCTCTTTATGAGATAGGTACAAGAGTGGCCAAGAAATGATCAAAATGATACGGGACGGGAATGATTATTTACCAAGAAAATTTGGTAAGTCCAATCTTTGACTAGTTGCTCCTCGTATTAATTCTCAAAAAAAAAAATTAAAAAGATCAAATTTTATTAAATCACCAAAAAAAAATTACAAACACAAAAACACATAAAACCTAAATTCCATGGATCAGCACAAAAACAACATACTGGAACAACAAATATAACAAGAGAGAAAAAGCACACTGGCCACTATAATTAAGGTAGGCATTACAAACATAACAAACAAACGTAAAAAGTTTCAAATGAAAACAAGAGACCAGCAGCCCAATGACTGCTGCTCTGAAAAAACACTCGCAATAAGCAAAGTTAAAGCCAGCATGTTGAATAACATGCCAACATTATTTTGAAGAACGGGCCACTAATCCTCAATTAATATGGTGTTAATTATATGGGACCACTAACATTCTTTAATTATTTTTTCCATGCTCTTTAATTCTGATGAGATGTCAGACGATTTCCATAAAAAGCTCAATTTTTCACCTTGGGCATTTCTGCGATGAATTAGCATTGCAAGCTACCTTAGCTACGTGTTGCATATTTTTTCGTGCATTCGTTTCGTTCTTTTAACGTTAGGTTAATCAGACAAAACATAATTAATGGATTCGCCCTCAGTTATAGTCTCATAAAATTACTGGTGGCAATTGAATAGGGCTTCAAAAAATAAATTTCATTTTAGCGGCGGCGAAATTCAATCGCCACTCAAGATCACTTTTATAGCAAAAGGCTATCATAAAATAATATTGTCGAGGCAAGAACTACAACATATGATGAATGATGATTGATGACAAGAGCTTGACATCTTTCACAGCACATATAAATCACACTCAGCATTATGATTCTATTCTCCTGCTTTCATTTTTAATTAATTAATTAATAATAATAAATAATAATAATCAGTACTACGCTGAGAAAACATGTATTAAGATGAACAGTATACAAACATAGACAACTCAAGTGTTTCAGTGCTGGGAACTTTTTTTCACATGCATGATTCTCTACTTTAAGCCATAATTTGTCTGTGTTGTAATTTAGTGTCACTTGTACTGCATTATTGCCTTTTCTCTTGACTATTGGAGAGCAAGGACCAAGATTTGGAATCTGATTCCCCATTTAGTCTGGAATTGATTAGATAATTTTTAGATACGCGAATAATCTTATACTAAAGAGCGCTAATTACTAAATTAAGATCTGACTACACACAAGCACCCCCCCTCCAGTCTGATTCTTTTGTTATAATACAATAAAGATTGCCAGGTGTTTTAATAACAAATGTTATAACTTGTAGGGAATGCAAACACAGTAATCAATATTTTTAATCACTCACTCAAATTGAGAAGGGTCATCCTTCCCCAACCAAATGAGAAATTTAAAAGAAAAAGAAGAGACTGGAAAATGTATACATGTTGGATTTTTACCCGTGGAAATAAATTAAGAAGAATCAATACAGTTGATGAGTTTTACCTTTTTGGGAATTAATTAATAAAAGGGCTTCAAACCGAAAGGGAAAAAGGGCATATTTGTATTTGTAGGAGAAAGATGTTCCCAGTCCCACCAAGCTGTCAGAAACAAGAACAACTTACTCATGGAGGACTAAAGAAATCTAGAGCCAAAGCCAAAAGTGAAGCGCGTGGGGCAAGTGGCACCCATAGAACCAAGGGTTAAAGGATGAAAATATTTCAAAATACTTTGTGAAGAACGCTTGATATTTTAATTTTTTTTTAAACAATGTCATCTTAGAACTTAAAAAAAAAACAAAGTGCAATTTTATCATATCGTTAACTAAACAAACAGAACAGAATTTTTTTTTTTTTAATTGTTGACCAGAGCTCTCTCCTTCTCGCTCATTGTCGCTCCCCGGTACTGCCTCCATATTTCCACATTTTGTTTACAAGCCAGTGAAGAAGAAATAAGCATCCAGTGCTTCCAATATCCATGAATCAGCTTACCTACAATTCATATTAAGCCATCTAAAGTGTTTCACAGAAAATCACTTTCATTCACACTGAGATGAGATGAAGGAGGTAATGTTGTAGTAATTATATATGTGTGTTAAAATAAGTCTTGCATTATTTAAATGAATAGTGCTCTTAGTGTATAAATATTAAGGAATGAAATAAAATGGGTTTGCATGTATGAAATAGGCCAACTCAAGGCAATCACAGTTGAAACATTCATGCCTTTGCCTTCAACCTATATATAGTTATGGATGCAGACAGAATAGTGTGCTTGTCTCTTGAGCTTTCGAGGCTTTCTTTCCTCCTCTGATGTTCTTCTTCTTCATTTAAGTTTGCTAATGTTTGTTGTTCTATGCCCTTACCTTTTGCAGGACGTGTTTATTTAATCCTGAGGAACTGCCGGCCCACCATACAAATGTATCAAAATGATTTTTAAGAAGAATATTTTTTAGCATGACTTAAGCAATTTTTGATTACCTCCATAACACCAACAGGTAATAGTTATTTATAGTGTCACTACTTCATCACTACTTGCAAAGTGATGCAGAACAACTTAATCTCGAAACTTCACGCCTCCTAACATCATCTAATTATTGATAAGCAACAGTAATATGGAATCGAGCCCAAAATTTGCAACAAAAACCTTGAAATTACTTTGTGATCCAAAAACTAATTATTCAGCCAATCGTTGGCAAAAAAATATTCAGCCAAACACGCAGTTCACACAGAGGGCATAATAGATGATGATAATCCGAAACCTACGAGACGCTTGACAGCAACTTTGGGAGTAATGAGACAGGGCAACGAAGATCCTTGCAATTCCAGTATTTCACCTCCAATTCCACTCTCCCCTCTGCCATGCCAAAGATTCGACGCCTCCCACTCCATCCCTTTCCATTTCTAACGCATCTTTCCATTTCTCGACACCTTCCCACTTTCTTCCCACCTTCGATTGGCCACTTTTTTTTGCTAAATTCCACGCCACTCCCCATGAACTTTCTGCGGCATATGAACAATTAAAAAAAACAAAAATTTCTCGTCAATGTTAGCGGTCAAAGTGAACAATTAAAAAAAAAAAGATCATGTCAAACAGTTAGTCTGGTTAATGATGGGATAAAATTGCATTTTTTTTAAAAAATTCATGATGACATTGTTTCAAAAAAAAAATTAAGATACCATGTGTTGAAATCTTTTTAGGAAATTTGTACCCTTTAACTCTAAGGTAATGTTTGAAAGTTTTTTTTTAAGATGAAATAGAATAGAATGAGATAGTTAGCAGCTTTATATCATTGTTTGGGAGAAATTTTCAAAAAAGAGTATAATGGTTTGGGATGATATTTAAATTATCTCTACCCATCATCAACCCATTTTCCTCGACTCCCTAATTTAGAAGGTCAAGGATAGAATAATATAATATAAATAATATTTTTATAAAATTATCCTTATCTTTTTATCTCCTCTCACTCTTTCTACCTACCGTTATCTTAAAATTGAAGAATATAATTATATCTAATTCAAATATATTAACTTTATAATTATTTTTAAATAATGATTACATAAGATCGTTTATTTTTCTAGTGAAACTCCCGAACAATAAAATATTTCATTGCATTTCATTTCACCATATTTTACTCTATTAATAATCATTCTCTTTCATTCCATTATATACTCCGGAACATACCTTAAAACTAAACAACTAGACAACAATTGTATTCTCAACCCTTCTAAAGCAAAATATTTCTTTTCACTAGCGCCACCTAATAATCAATCTTACTAATTACATACTAAAAAGTTTTACTTCCTATTTCATTCAATAAGTAATTTAATTCATAAAACCATAGTAAATATTCCGCAGACAGTCAAGTTGTGCATTTATTTGATTATTTACCTCCAGCTCTTAAAAAATTATGTTGACGAATAATGAATTGGAGACCCAACTGATAACATAAACTAAGAAAGCCACTAAAGGTATTTATACAGTAGCGAAGAATGCGAAAAGACAAGAAGAGATGTTATATTGAATACATTATAATATTTTGCCGGGAAAGAATGAAAAGACACATGGATGGATTAATTCCAAAAATACTTGAGGGTAATGGGAATAAAGAGCGAGTGTGGGCGTGCAGACAGGAGCATACCCCACAGTGATGTATTAAATGGGATGGGTTTCCTAAGTACGTAAACGTAAGTCGGCAAAAGCAATGGTTGGCCAGCATTACCGTGTCAATTCCAGTAGGAAATTTGTAAACACATGTAAATAAGGGGCCTACGTGGGACTGGGTTTGCCTCTGTGCTCGAGAACGCGTGTGAGCATGAGAGGAAGCAAGTAGCACATCAGTATTATGATGAGAAGAAAGGACCCAATGATCGAATTTATTAGTGTATTCCGTAGGTTTGAGTCTTTAGACGATGGTCCTATTTGACCGGCAAGCCTTGATGGTGAGAGGGCAATAATGCTTTCGCACTTGAGGATTCCCTCCCACTAATGCTGCCTTTTAGTCCCTATCTCCTGCCTTAAAAGGGGAGGCTCATATAATTATAAGAGTTTTGGGAGAAAGCTTAAAAGCATTAAGCACAGCATTTATAGTAACGTGAGGAAGGGGACGGTGCCTGGTGGGGGTAGGCTTTTATGAACTGGGGCATCTTATGGGGGCTTTTTATTTTTTTATATGCCAAGTGAGCTGTGTTGTAACTCCCTTTTTTCATCATGATTATTGTGGTTTTGATATCTGAATTCTCCTTCAACTTGTAAACTGTTGCAATTCCCAACCCCTTACCTTACATAGCATGCCACTCACGAGATGCCACATGCTCCCGAACAAGCGGCCGCCACTCGCTTATTTATTTTGTTATATGCTAAATACACCATGAGATTAAGCTTGATTGACAATTTTGCTAAATTTGTTGTATGTTGCTTTTACGCGGAACTTCTGGGCTTTTCCTTTTTACGGATGAGGACAAGAATAAGAAAGGGCGATCCCGATGGCATCAAATCATGGGTCAGGGAATTTAGAACCATTGAAATTGTTTAGAGAGGGGATTTCATCAAGTCCACTCTCAGTACATTAAGAAAGTGGAGGATGGAAGTGGGCAGAGACTGATACCACCATAGGATGCACTGTTAAAGTATTTGAGGGGCTATTATTAATGCCTTTCGGCCGGAGGTTCGCTGGTCCAGTGTGTATTTTTCTCAGCCGACAGTGCAAAGGACCAATTAAAGACTTGATTGGCTTTGGCCGAAATCAATCAAGAGTGGAGCCCCTTCTCCTATTTCTCTATATACAATTAAAAAAAAATTAGAAAAGAATATTGCTTTAATTTATTTTGTTTTTTGTTTCCCGGGGCAGCTGGTTTGGCCATGAGTAGGATTAACAAAATGGGACGCCACTCTGTAGTTATATAATGGATCTTAGAATTTGCAAAGGATGCTTTGGAACTTTATGCGCAGAAGCTGTGAAGGCAGTACAAATGATTTGGGGGTGGGAGATAGGCCCACGTTATGGATTGTAAAGTTTTGGACTTTGGTGGGTACTCATTTGCAGCACCCTGCCTCAAACTGTAAAGGCCGCGGACTCCACTCCAGCTCGCTCACTATTTCCACACGAAAAGCGGCTTCTCTTCACAGCTGCTGGTGCTCCGATCCATAAGGGGTTCCAAATGAATAGTTTTGCTTTCAATTAAACCAAGAATTAAATGTATGTCGGTTGGAGGTCAATATATAATAAAGGCATAAATATTTTGAAACTTATTAAATCATGGAAGAGACGTCGAGGAAAGCAAGGGCATCCTTTTCTTGTTGCAAACTAATTAGGTGGAGGATGCAGCCATACAGGCCGTTTTTTGTCCCTGTCATAGTTAGTTACCTGACAGAATCGGAATTTCATTACTGCAATCAATGATCTGAATGACATTAGGATTCCCGATTAGAAAGAAATGAAGCGAGTTTATTTCTTCCAACTTCAACTTACAATAAGCATGAAAAGACTTCATGTTCATGTGGTATTCGTGTTCAAGAAGACAGGTGCAGCAAATTGTTACATCAAACTAGTGCAAGTTCCCTCGGGGCTCAACTGATGCCGTCAACTGTCCACCTATTACCGGTACGGTATATATGGGACCAAAGAGTATCATATGGTACAAATAGCCTTATAAGCATATCAGAGTGCACAGATCATTCTTTCTTGCCCTAGAAATATTGGTATAAGGAAATATCCTGAAGTTGCCATTCCTCATGCAAGTCAATGTCAACTGTGCATCGTTCATCATAGTCTGCATTTGCAATTGGAGAATATAAACTAGCGTTAGCATGAGGCATCGAGCTTCTGGAATTGACACTTTTTATTAATCTCAATGAAATGCATCTGATATTGTTTTTGTTTGGTGAATGTTAGTGTAAAATCCGCAGACCTCGCAAGAAGTTTCTATGTTTTGGCAATGCCACCTAGAAGGAACACAGTCAAAATATCGGCACCCCTCGCAATAGTCACTGATGTTTATACCAAAATGAATTGCTACAACACAACCTGCAACTCTGCAGACAGATGAAGTTTATTAAGACACGATCTATGATGAGAAAATGACTCGTGACAGAAGGTTCAGAGCCATGCAAACTAAATAGAAATACAACAAGAGAAAATAACGGCATACATTAGGCTAAGGAGAACGAGAGAAACAATTCTCATTATTGGTCTATCCAGATTTTGCTTCAGTTTTAGCTTAGTGTAACTTTTGAGACCATAATCAATGAGACCTCCTTTATTTGGAGCTAGCTGAGGGCTGACTAAAAGTGCAGATCCAAGAAGAAACCCAGATATAAAACCCCCTGTGCTTGAAAAGTTGTCTACGTAAGGCAGCAAGCCGAGGGCGAAATTGAACACAAACACACAGACTAACAGTGCACTAACTGCAATCTGAATCCAAAAAGAAAATATTATTAATTCTCAACCTTTGCAGGCCAATGAGCAGAAACAATGAACTGGGGAGTACAAAAACCTTATTGGTGAAATATTTCCAGTTCCAAATAAGCGTTGAAAGCATGGATCCTAATAATCCATACAAAGCACCGGAGGCACCAACAGCTGGAATGTTTTGGATAAAAAGAGAAGCCACCAAGGAACCCACGAATGAAGACAGTATATAGATTATCCCAATCCTCACTGCGCATAAAAGGTCAATGACAAATTTAGCATTGCAATTGAATCGAAAAATTCCTACTTGTGTGAGTTTAATCAGAATTAAACACTATAAGAAACAGCAGATTTTACGTGGTCCAAACTCCTGCTCTAGGTGAATTCCCACAAGAATCATACTGCAGATATTGATGACAAGGTGGATGGCTCCAGCATGCAAGACTGGAAATGTGAAAAGACGCCAAGTTTGTCGATATTCTGTCAAGAAGGTTCGTCGAAGGGCTCCCATTTCATCTAACCTGCACTGGCATTAGCTTTGGTTAAAACTAGCATAGACATTTTTAATGAAGAAAAATTTATCTTGCACTCAAATAACAAACTATGTCCCCTGGAAAAGAACACTACCAAAGCTACTTCAAAGAGAAAAAGATTAGCTTCGCTGGGATCATCTTTATATATATCTATCGATTCTTTGAAGCTTCAAAGAGACAAGTGTACGTCTTTGATGAAAAAAAAAAAAAAAGAGAGAGACAAGTGTACGTACAAGGAGAACTAACGAACAAGCTCACTAATGCAATACACCAGTAAGTCACTGCAGTTTGAATAAGGTTCCTCACAACAACACTTGTCTGCCTTAATCTCCCTTGGTACCAACAAATAATTTGGGCAGAGGAAACTTGCTGCAAGAAGTGTACTAGTGTGCTCCCCTTTAAAAACTGCATATCTGCTTGGTGAAATAGACACTACTGCCCTTTTATTAAAAGCAAATGATAGACTTTACAAGTTGCAATATACAGTTGATCAGATTATTGAACGTCTGTCTTATTGTTTATGTTGCGCAAAATAATTAGAGAATAAGGAAATTGTTGCTTTATCATTGTTGCAACAACTCTTTTACTACGTGCCAAGCTGTACCCGGTACTTCACCAAAGTGGTGGTGTCAAATCCAGATTCTAACGAATGATTTCTGGAATGAAAATAAAAAAAATTTAAACTGCAATTTGGTCTCTTGCACGTAATAATGCTAAAAAAAATAGAACAAAGAAAAGGAAAGAAAATAAAACTACAAATTAGAGAGAATCTTTCAGGGAACTTAAAACTGATGAGACGATTTTGCTCAATCAGCAAAAGGCAAAATCAAGAAAGTACACGCAAATTAAACATGCTAAATAAACTCAAAGACTGCTTGAAAGGATCGTAAAGACTCACTTGGACTCGGAAGGACCAAGCAAGGGATTCTCAGAAAGAGGCTGAAACGATAATCTTCCGAGGTCTTTGAGAATGCAATCACCGTGAGAGTTAGTCCAGCAGTCATTGACGAGCATGGTGGCTATGAAAACCCCAGCGTGCAAGATTACGAAGACTGAAACCATCCAAGTGTCGCCTCTGCGCCGAGAGCCAGATTTGAAAAAGGGAATCCTCCATTCTTGGCGATCATCGGTTATTTCATCAGGCAATTTGGGGAGTGTGGGCTTGACATCAATTAATTCATGTTCCATCCTAAAACTGTCCGCCGATGATTTTCCAGGAAAATGTGATTTGCACAGCGAGAGCTTGACATCACTTAATTCGTGCTCCCGTGCCTTGGAACTTTCTGTCATTTATTTTTCAGGAAAATGCAAGATCGTATACTTGAGTGAAGAAAGAGAGATTGAAGTGCGCACTCTATAAGCAACAAGTCGCTGCCTTTGCAGTTGCAAATACAGTCCAGCTGTCAGCACTCGGCAGGGGGCCTCTTCGGCAGTTCGATTTATTTAGTTAGATACGGAGACTAGTTACAAGAAGTCGTTGGTTTTGGCGGCAAAGGCGCTTTTTTCATTTTTTACTTTATTTGTTACAATATTCCTTACTTGCACAGGCAGAACTGAGGTGCAGCGGAGGCGCGTCTGACTCCAGATCAGAACTCTGCGTGTTCGGTTCATGTCCGGTTCAAATCCCTAGAACATTCGCTTTATTTTTAAGTAAACTTATGTCGATATTTTTTGAACCGAATGATGTGGGTCTACGCCCTTTTCAAAGTCCCCTTCCAGATCCCCGTAAAAAATAAAATAAAATAAAAGACAATTAAAAAAGATAATACTGAGGCTGGGCTAGAAGACCGCATATACGCTTTAGCTATGAAGCATAAGGGCCCAAACCTAAATCCAAATTGAAAATGGTATAGTGTATTGTGCGGAATACGTACAAAATGATCACACTCGGCCCACGAAATTCCCGCTCGTCTGAAGCCCCGGCTCCCATGTCCTCAATTCAATGCATGCCATGCTGGCGTTTCAACTTCGTTACAAAAACCTCTCGATAAATCCCTCCTTTTTCAGTTACGAACTCAACAACTTCCAACCAATTACACCCCGTTCCCGTAACTCCTTTCACATTCTCCCCCATTCCTCCCCTGATCAAGTTCTCTTTGCACTTTGCTGTTCAATTTAGCGCCAAATAACGTCACATCCGTAAGTTCTTCTCATTTTCATATTGTTTGTTTCTTTTCCTGCTCTCCTAAATCTTGCTTTATACTTCCTTTCTCTCTGTACCATTGACGTCTACAATTACGCTCTACACTCTACGGGGCATTTGGCAGATGAATTCGGCTTACATTCTTTTCCATCCCTCTTTCAATTCTGCAGCTTAGAGTCTCTTTCTGAGAAACCCGACGAAATGGACCAAGGAAATCTTACCGCCTTTAATTTGTACTACCTTTTTGCTGTATATCTCCCGTGCTTGTAAAGTTACATCGAGTCCTGTCACACAGCTTCTGTACAAAGTACTGGCCGTTTGAACATATTCTGCCAACTTACGAGGTGTACACACTTTAGAAAAGTAAGCGTGTGCTTTTGGTTCTTACTGTGCTTACTCGAACGCTCTGATGGTGTATGAATGTCTGTTCCTTGACGCTCCTTTAAATAAACGTGGAAGGGTTATTTAAGCTTTTTTCTTTCACAATGCCTGTTCTTTCGTGGCTAATTTACAAATTTACAAACAAGACAGATCATGGAAGTGTAAGGAACGTAATTGGGGTGCCATTTCTTGTAGGATATGCTTGTTAGCATTTATAACATTTGGAACGTCTTTTTCTGCATAGAAGCTTTCGTACTCAGCATACTCATTCAAAGCTGCTCTAAATGTCATTAAAGCAGATCCATTTGTCATTGGTCAAGAGAATGATTTTGATGATGTTTGGATGCTCTGATGATTAGTATCAAGAGGAAGACATTTATTTATTTCAATTTTCCGGATTACGTGTGAGAGAATAGCATGTGAAAGGTCTGAGGTTTGTCTTCCTGACGTACAAACTCTTCTTGTTCACCCCATGGAACAAAAGGCACGGGAAACACATGGACTAAAATCTCAAGCTGTTGGACAACAGCAAGCAGATGATTTAAAAATTCAAAATGAAGATTTAGGCAAACCAATGGATGAGGTAAAAACTCAAATAATTGTCTGTGATGGTCCTCCTGAGTTGGACAACAGACAGGATGATATGTCTTTTCAGACAAGTGAGATAGCAGACTTGAAGTTTAAAACTTCTGAAGGAATGGCAGACAATGTGGTTGGAAAGTCTGAAGTTGCTCAGAGAATTGATGAGGTTAAGGATTTGCGATGTACATCTCAAGAAGAAAGTTTAGAAACCAGAACTGTTATAGATGACTCATGTTGCAAGGTGTCTGAGAGTGCTTTCCTGAAAACTGAAACTCAAAACGAATTTGTCAACATTGTTAGACAAGATTACTCTAGTTACAAGGTTGATAGTAATGTAGCGAAGTCTGATATCCAAGAAGAAAATGTGGATAAAAGGTCGTTACAAAATGACTTGACTAGAGAGATGGCAGATACTAGAAACCTAGAAACAACAGAAATGAAGCAAAAGGAAGATGACTTCCTAAGTGAGGATAGAAGTTTGGAGGTTGTATTTGATGGAAGAAAGGATACTGAAATGGAGGCTAGGAGTAGCAAATCTACTTGTCCTTTGGAAGCTGATCGAGGGAATCACGGTGTAGGTCAGAAGAGTCTGATAGCGATCTCCACTCTTCTGGGTTACCTTTCAGGTAAAAGAGACAAAGGTTCTATGAGCATTTCTGGTGATGAGGGTAAGGGGGTTTCAAAATCACCAAAAGACAGTGAATCAAAAATGGTTTTGGAGAAAGCAGCAGAGAGACATGCTTTGAATCCCATAAATTCTCCTAAGATATCTTCTGATGTTAGTGTGGAGAACAAAACTGAAGGGCCTCCACAACCCATAGCCATGAAGGCAAGGGTTATATTGTACACAAGATTAGGTTGCGTGGAGTCCAAAGAGGTTAGGCTATTTTTGTACATGAAAAGGCTCAGATATGTTGAAATCAACATTGATGCGTACCCTACTAGAAAGCTGGAGCTGGAGAAGATTTCTGGTAATGCTTCTGTTCCAAAGGTGTTTTTCAGTGAGGTACTTATTGGAGGCTTGAGTGAGCTAAAGGCCTTGGGTGAGTCAGGCAAGCTTAATGAGAAGATTGAGTTTCTCATTACTGAAGCACCATCATTTGAAGCACCATTACCACCGCTTTTTGGAGAGGATGATGTATCCAGCAGTCGAGGTCCAGATGAGATGGCTTTAATTGTTCGAAAAATGAGAGAATCTATTGTTGTTAAGCACCGATTTTGGAGAATGCGCAGGTTCACTAACTGTTTTCTTGGGTCGGAAGCTGTGGACTTTTTATCAGAAGATCAATATTTGGAAAGACGAGGGGCAAGTCTGATATTAATTCTCAACCATGTATCTAATACTAATACACTACCCATCCTGAATCATAATTATTTGTTGAATAAATTGGCAGTCAAAAACAATAGTTTCCAATGATAAAAATTTATGGCCTATTGCATGTCTCGAAATATGCAACTTTGTTAATAATTGTGGATATGGAATTTATTCTTGAGAATTGTTGAGTTCTTGACGTCTTGTAAATCATGTGGAATGCAAAACGACATTGTTTCATTTAATCCAAGCTTTAAGATCATAGCTATTGGATGACAATTCCATTTAATATTTTTATTATCAAGCATCGGCTTTCTGTTCTATTTAAGATTTTTGATTTCAATAATTGAATAATGGCTTGTTTTCTGTTTTGTTTTTCTCTTCATCCATTTCTCAATTAGTTGCCAAGGGGGGGTTCTTGTTATATGAAGGGTGTCTGATGTACAATTTGATGTCATAGACCTACTTGTTTTTGTTTTATGTGAGTCTCTCCAGTGGTGATTATTTTCATTGCACGTGCTGGTTCAATTATTTTATATTGAATTCTTTTTCAGCTACTAACTAATGCCTGAATGTTCCTTTGGGGACATCCGATAATACTAAGAAGGATGCAGATTGTTTTATGACTTCTTAAAAAAAAAATTGTCTGTTAGACTAATTCTTATCGCGGAAGCCGGAAATTAACTGACATGTCTGATCTGTCAGATATGTGCATGCTCTGTTTATAGTCAGGTTCACATAAATTTGAGCACACCATTTGGTTCGGGCGTTGGACATTTCTGTTATAAGGGGATATGATAATGTGGGCCTTGCTAAACGCCGTTAAGCATATTAGTCGTATCTTCAAAGTTTCCACATTCCATTACATATCAAATCATCGACTGAATAGTTTAACTGAATTGATTCATACCATTAATAGCTTCATTACACGTTTGTTATCTATTCTAATTCTTATCCGGTTGTATAGGCTGTTCAATTTGCACGAAAGCTTGCAAGCAAATTAGCAAAATCTATTTGAGGATGGTAATCACTCGTATCGATTTTTAGACGAGGATCCAATTGTGGCGTCTCAGTGTCACAACATTCAGAGGGGCATAATCACTGTGAAGCCCAAGCCTATAGCAGAAATTGCATCAAGGCTGAGGTTTCTATCCCACGCAATGTTTGAAGCTTATGCTTCTGAAGATGGACGTCATATTGATTACAGAAGTCTCCATGGAAGTGAGGAATTTGCAAGGTTTTCATAACCTTTTTTTGGCCGTACCACGCAACAGATTACTGCTGTGATTTTTTTTCTTATTTATTTATTATGACTACAATTATCACTTTAGGTATCTGAGAATAGTCGAGGAGCTCCAAAGAGTGGAAATATGGGAGATGTCTAGAGAAGAGAAGCTTGCTTTTTTTTATTAATCTATACAATATGATGGCTATCCATGCAATCTTAGTATGGGGTCATCCAGCCGAAGCACTTGAAAGAAGGTAAATGTTTGATGATTTCAAGTATGTCATAGCTGCGTGTACCTACTCACTTTCATATATTCAAAACGGCATTTTGAGAGGAAACCAGCAACCGCCATATAACCTTATGTAGCCATTTGGTGCAAAAGACAAACGTTTCAGGGTAAGTTATGCTCCTGCTCGCATTCTGAATGCTATCAATCTCGAAAGAGATGTTTCTTTAAACTAACTCATGGTACTGGCTCAATCAAGGTTTTCGTGAGTGTATCATTGGTGTCGTTATCTAGACTATTAGGCCCTATTTGGTACATGAGATTGAAAGCTAAGAACTGGTATTGGGATTAAAAAAACCCAACTTTTTATGTTTGGTATGAATCTTTAAGCAATCTAAACCCAATTCCAATCCCACCTTACATGGGATTATTCAGTACCACCCACCCCCTAGGTTTGCAAAATCATTATTGGAAATGAAAATATCTTGACCAAATTGTCTGCACCCATCTCTCTCTCTCGTGTCTCTTCTCTTCATGCAACAAAATCGCAAGCTTCGATCTGTACGTTCCGATCTGTACACTCCGTCCAGCTGCCATGAAATCCTCTTTTCAAGCTCCGATCTATATGTTGCCTTAAGCTCCGATCTATACGCTGCCAAGACATTGTGAAGGAGGAAGAGACCCAGGTGAAGGAGGAAAAATAAAAGTCAGAGAGACGCAGCACATCGATGAAGAAGGAGATGGAGGAAAAGGAAAGATCAGAATCAAAGATGTTGTTGACTTCTTCCAAATCTGTTGCATTCAAACCTGAAACTAAAGCTGCGCTGCCATAATGATTGCCGTATTCGACTGCTTCCAGGCCTCACAAGCTAGGTTTTTTTTTTGAATGCAAGGGGTATTTTAGTCTATTCATAATTTATGTTTAATTTTAAAATAAAATAAAAGTAAGTATTCCCTACACATATTACTTCATACCAAACATAATTTTAAAGTCTCATTCCTACTCCCACTCCTACTACCAATACCAACACCAGTCCCAATCTCAATCCCTTTAAATTGAAACCTACATACCAAACAGGGCCTTAGGTCATTTCTATGTCAATGAAGGGCTTTATTTTTGCCCATATCTTCCTACCGTGATGTCCGTCGATTAGTAAGCCTACTGAATTGACGCTCTATTCTTATTCTTCTTTTTAATGTGTTTCAGGCAGCTCTCCCTTATCCTGAGCCTCTTGTTCATTTCACTTTAGTCTGCAGTACCCGAGTTGGCCTTGGGCTGTGATGTTATTCCCTTGGAGACATAGACAAAGAATTGACGGATGCGGGCCGCAAATTCATAAGAAGTGGAGGGCTAACGATTGACCTGAATACCAAGGTTGCATACTATCAGGGGCTAGTCTTTCGACCCCTGCAGCATTTAGGCAATCTCCACTAAAAGTTACCAAGTAAACCTAACTCGTAGAAAAAGAGAATACTTGGCTAAATTGAGAAAAGGAAAAGCTTGAGAGCAAATGATATTTGAGAAAGTTTGAAAAATGTGAGAGTGGTATTGCTTTGAGAACTTAAGATTGGTTACAAATGAGAAGGGGTGAAGTATTTATAGACCTCTCCTTTGGATCTAGAAAGTTCTCACCTTCTTAATGGACGGTGGAGATTAAATCGATTCTACAGTTACAATTAATTCTTTAGAATCTTCTTCTAGATATTTACAACAAATATCTAGATATTTATATGAAAATATCTAGAGTCAATATTAAAATATTGATGTTAGAGTTGTGTATACTTCTCTAAAATGTTCTTGCACTTTCTAGCACTCCTAAGGTTATTCGGGAGCCTTCTGGAGGATTTTGGAACATTCCGGAGCTCCTTAACCTCATAAAAAATCATGAATGGTGACAATATGCTAGTAAGATCCTTAAGTGGTGAGCCCCTCTATATGTAGATTCTGAATATGATTGTTGACTTGACGTGGTATTTAGTAGGGAGTAGGACTTTAAACACACACCTCATAACTAATTAGATACTTTCTTTGCTGAAACATTTTCAAACTGCTGAAATGTTTTAAGTAATATCTTGGAGATATCAGCAAGTAGATTTACATGATACCAGAATTTTCATAACCGAGTAGACAAGTTGGATTTTGCTGTTCGTTGTTGCAATTAAATTGAAATTTTAAAGATATTATGAACATATTCTTTGTTCCAGTTTCACACCCAAAAAAATTGAGGGAAAATGTTAAAAACATTAGTGAAAAAACACATTTCCTAGGCTAAAACACGTTAAAATATGAATAAGAAATCCCCGTAGTGTATATATTATACAAGGTTGGGATTTGGGAACAGATAACCTGATTCATGCCCACGGCTTCTCTCTAGATAGTCATATTTAATTTCATTTTTGAACCTCGACCACTGTTAGAAGTCAACTCCTCTTGACGCATCTCCATAAATGTATTTGCACTAAATCAAGCAGGAGGTTCTAGCAAGTTTTAGAAGGAGCAATATAGGGAGATGAAGCTGCTGCAATTGGATTGAAAATCTGAAGGCAAAATGATTAAAACAAATGTATGAAAACAACCAGAAATATCCGGAAGGGACATGAACATTTTATTAGAAGAGGCCGTGAGCAAGCTAAAAAATCGTGAAGCATGAGAATTGCCCACCTTTTGTCTAATCTAGCTGTAAAGGCTTCAAGGTTCAAGCCACCGCGTGTATGACTGTGGATGACCGGGTAAACGAGATTGAGCATGGCCACGTAGCACGAGGGGGCAGAGCGTATGTGGAAGTAATAGCTATATGCTTGTGCAAGTCATTAGGGGGTTGGTGAGATGTCATTACATTGTGAGTGTTGAAAATAAAATAATGCTAATAATAATTAGAGTAATTACTGAAAGTTCCAGTTTTGTTCGATAGTCAATTTATTTTCCTGAATCCCGTATAACTTAAAAAAAAAAAATTTGCAGACGCACCAGACTTAAGGCAAGTATAATTCAGTGTAGCTATTTCAGTGTAGTGTGTGGTGGCAAAGCTTAGGAAGTAAAAGTAACAGAGTTTGTGCTAGTCTTGAAAACGTTTAGGGGACAAATTACGTTGTAAGGAGATTAGATTTGAGATAGTAATAAGAATGCTAATCTTGCTCTACGAGTTTTACCGCTGTTTTATTTGGGAATTCTAAGTTAGATTTTTTGTATTAAAATTTTTGGCTGTAAGTTAAAGTCAGATAATCATGATTATTTTGACTCGATTATATATGATCTTGATTTTGTTTATTATTTTAAAATCAGAAACCCCCCTCCGGGGGGGAATTTTCTTCATGTACTGTGAGCGGGTTAGAAAAAATTGTCCTTTTAGTTTGCTATGTATAAAAAATTAATTCAAAATTCAAATGCATTATTTCCGTTTGTGGTAAGACGAGTGCCAATATATCTCGATAAATTTGTAGGGGATAAAGGATCATGGACAATTTCAAATGCACATGTGTTTGGTGAATATTCATGATCTATGGACTTCTATACAACGTATGAAAAAACTTTACCCCGCATTCATTCACTATTCTCGTTATCTTTCCAATGTTGTTATGAAACGAAACAGGTGATTGTGTTGGGAGGTGGAAGCGACATCTTAAGTTATATTGGGGATTTTTTTTTTTTTTTTTGGCTTATGGAAATGATTTTGCTTATTGATTCAGGTTTAGTTCAGATTTTGGTGATAACGAGGCGGAGGTGCTGAAGCATGTGTCCAATTACATGAATCCAGCTGACTCCACAGCGTTAATGGACCTGCTTGCCACTTCTGAGTTGAAGATCGCTTATCAGACTTACGACTGGGGTTTGAACTGCTAGGTAGGACAGTAATGTGGGCTCTCAACTTCGTCGATACTCAATACAACATAATAGGTTCGTACCGATTCATCCATCTATGCAAACGTAATGCCATATGCTCCATTTTTTTTTCTTTTCCCGCGTGCCTTCATTACTTATTTCTACTCTCTCCTGTGTATCTACAATCTGTTGTCGGTGTAGATATTAATTAAATAATGCAATTCATGGTTTTTCAAATCTACCCTGGCTGCCAATGCCATTAAGCGCTCCAGCTGCTTTTGCAACCGACGTTAAAAACTAGTGTTTTATAATCGCATCTAATGTAGTTGTATTTATCATTTTAGACAATCCACCAGTTGTTTTCTATACTAAAAAATGACATTTGGAAACTTTGGGACTTTTAATTACACTTACTAATGGTAAATTTTAGAAGTTTTAAAGTTGGACCAAGATTTTGTGTGGAAAATAGCATATATTTTTAGTGGATAAAAATGCCCCGCTTTGCTATGGCAAAACTACCGTTGTTGATGCCGGCATTACTGACGTAAACATCAAATTTCTCTTTAATTTTGTCAATACTTATTTCAAAATGTTAGCATTTAGTTTTTTATTTTTTTAATACTCATTTTTTTTATTTTATATTCAATTGGTAATCTATCATGTGAAAATATTAGTACTAAAAAATTAAAGATAACTTGACATTTTTACAATTTTCCTTGCTTTTTCAAGTGTAATCAAAAGTAACTTTAAATAACCCCATCTAGTGCTAAAACAATAACAGTGCATAAAAGTTCAATTTAATTTAGGTTTAAAAAATAAAAAAGGAAAGCAGTTGAAAGACCATCCTAGTGTAAACCTGAAAGGCCACTTGTTTCAATTTCCATTGTCTTGTTGCCCCTGTTGGCATTACAAGCTATAGGTATAGCCACATAACACGGTTTTCATTTCTAATTCACTAATTATATCATGCTGAAGTTGGCGTATATAGACGAATGAAGCAAAAGCAACCCGTGCCCCGACTCCATTGGACTTTTGAAATTCTTCCCTGCATTCGCATCAAGTGAGTAAAAAATAAAAAGGGATGCTCCAACAGATCATATTTAACTTCGATTTGATTTAATTACAATTAATTTAACACTCTTTATTTTAAGATTATACTCTACTTCTTAATTCAAATTTGGTCTGTTTAAAGATGAGTAAAATAGGCTAGAAGTTAATTGATCCATTGAAATGTTATTTAACAATGACATTTTTGTTTCCTGCCCTTGGAGTTGATTTTTAATTTCCAGAGGGGTGTTTGGGGGGGAGGGCGAGGCTGACCTTGTCTAGTGACCTGGCTCCCCTGAAGGGCGCTTGCAGACGCCGTCATGTCCCACAAGAGTCATATACTTGTCTTTCCTAGTGAAGCTGGTGCATGCAAACCCTAAAGCCTTGCCGATCTGACTTTGCACGTAATTGGCAACTTCAATCCTGGATTTCCCACCTGCCTTACACGTATTACATGGCTGCAATCTCGCCAAAATCTTAACACAATAGTTAGGCTTTGGGTTCAGAAAGTAGTAAAAAGGGTCCAGAGCTTTATTCCCAGAAGCTGTTGTCCCGTAGAACATGTTAACCTGCACATCCACAGCAACAGGGACAATATCATCGGTCAGCTCCGCAAACAACGGACTGAATCGTAGCAAATAAGGTTCCCTGCAAGTGGTTCCCTCCGGACACACCACAAGGCTTCCAGAGCTCAACATCTTCCCCATTGTCTCGCTGTCCTTCTCTCTGTCTCTGGTTAATCGGATTGTCCTGATTGGGGAAACGAGCTCGTTGAATCTACTCAAGCTGTATGTGACAGCAGAGAGGGGCTTGTTTATAACATACGAAATATAAAGTGGGTCGAGTAAAGTTCTGTGGTTGCACACGTACAGCGTGCCCCTTTGCTCAATTTCTTTGTTCAGATATTGAGGGTAGTGGGATTTCGATAATGTGGTCCTTGCGCCTAAAAATGACAATATTGGACCTGACACGTTGAACGGCAGTGATATGCCAACCGTGAATCTGAGCATGCAGAGAACCAGCCCGAGTGGTAACCACATGAACAAAGCTAAAGAAGACAGAGGGGTTGGCCTGAGGGCTAATCTTCCATCGTGGAAGATCACTGGCTTGGGGTATCTCTCCCTTGGAAGGACTTCCCAAGTTGTTTTCTCAGCATCACTCGCCTCCTGCACGTAATATCTAATGCTTGTCATCAAGAACCAAAGAGAAGAGAGGGTCATAGATATATATACATATAACAGGGAGTGAGGGAGCTGATAAATGTCCGTCTGAAGAAGTATATTACCCTTACCTCCTGCTCAGCGTTCATGGTTTGGCTACCTATGCCAACAATGCTGCTGGAATCTAGGAGGGATTTGTTATGTTTTTTCTCCTCCTGAAGCAGTCCCAAATAGTACCCATGGAATGACTTTATCTCTCTCGCTACTACAGCATCGACTCCTAAATACTCCTTCAGAACGCATTCAACCATAACTCTTGGCATTTTACTTGTCGCCACCTTTCTCTCAAAACTCTGAACAGCTTCAAAACCTGGACGCCCAACATCTTGTAAGAAGAACTTCGGAAGAACAGAGGATCCAATCCTGAATGTGTCCTTTTTAATCCCAAAGAAGGTCAAGAAAACCATTATGTTCAGCCCCACCTGGCTTTCTTCTCCAACCAGCCACACCAGAGGGTAAGAAAGTAATAAAAGGAGATATCTTAATAAACCGCCCGCTTCAAAAGCTACGAGCGCGAAGTAAGGAAACAGTGAAGCGGATCTCAACATGGTGCCCTGAAAATCGAACACTAGTACTCTTTTTGACAGCTTTCCGGTTTCGTGAACAAGGGAAATGGTTTCCATGGCGCTCTCAGCGTTCTCCGTGTAATGGTAAAACATTGACAGGAAAGGTATAGAAACCAAGAGAAGGTAGATTTTATAATTTGTCACAAAATTTCTGCCCCATTTATGAATGCTAATCACACTCTTCAGCTGTCCCGAGTCTCATTGAAGTCTATAGTTTGCTTCATAAATCTCACAACATTACATCAATTTATGTGGAAATTCTTTTCCTCTTCAGAGTAAGGAAGATAAATATGCACTTCTCAGCACCTAAAAAATGTTGTCAATTAATCATAATCAATTTTCTGATTTTTTTCATAATTCAATTTACGAATGAAAAAGAAGAAAAAAGGGATTTGAAAGAGAGGTGATTAATCCAATGCGCGTCAAGAAGTTTTCATAAATGCAACTTTTTGGGTGAGGGGTAAAGCTGGTATCTAACGCGCAACTCTTGCTTCCTGCTAATTAAAGTGTCCAGCTTTTCTACCAGTAATGGTACGGACTCACAACTATTGGAATTTACTATTAGTCACCAAACAAATAATGGCATTCATTTAATTTGAAAGAAATGAATCTATTTTTGTTTTGTATCAGTACTGTGAGACGCTTGAAGATGGCGAGGCGCACGAGCGCGTTTTCCCATTAAGTTTGTTCAAGGCTATTGAACAAACCTAATGAAAACCTTATATATGTATTATTTTGGTGGCTACACTGCCTCTAATTGTTCATTTTCGCGTTGCTCTTTAATGCTGTTTGGTTTTGGTGTTGTCCCTTAGATTTCTCGTTTTTATTTTTATTTTTTCTTCTCTCCTTAATGACTCTAGCTACCACTCAATTTTTTCGGTCAAAGGTCATAATCAAACATTTAAGTCACACCATATGCTCTTATGTGTAGGGCAGAACCACATTTGGGTAATAGTGGACATGTGCATCCCCTCATTTTAGAAAAAATCATAATTAAAGTATGTAAATTTTGAGACTTTGCACCCCTTTCTTAATATTTTGCACCCTTTGAATTAAAATAAAAAATATTCATGCTTAAAAACTTATTAAATATTTAATATTTCAATAAACGGGATAAGATATAAAAAGCATATATAAAAAACCTTATTAACATGTTTAATATAATTTTCTACAAAATATGATGATCAAACTATTTATGTTATTACAATTTTAGCCATAATATATTTATTATTTTAAATTATTTAAATTATTATTTTTAAAAAATATTAATTTTTAAATTAAATTATCTTGCGCTCTCGACTTCCACTGCTAGCCACAGAGTTGTTTGCTAATTATCATTGGGATATGCTTGAATATTTGAATTAAATAGTATTGTGGGTTGTCTTAGACCAAACCATATAATATAAAACTCAACATAGTGGCCCAAAATAAGTTTAACTAGATTTTCCCCCCATATGATCTATAAAATAAATGCTCATTTGATTTTACTAACAAAAGCTAATTTAATTGATAAAAATTTAATTCATAATTTCTAAAATTGTGAGTTCAAATTCTATTGCTGTTATAAGAATGTTAGTAAATGACATGTAAATATCTATAAATACTTTTTAAACTCAAAGACAAGAGCTAATAAAAGTTACATTATTCATCCTGCATTTTTTTTAATCACAAAGGAGGGAACTAGCCCAAAGTTAAAAATCAAAGAGGTCAAGAATTTAATCCCATAACAGCATGCTGAATTATAACCCGTAAGAAAATAGCGGCTGAATCAAAAATCATTCCGCATGTTTGTAACCGCCAACGGAAACAAGGGGGGTTGGGGGGTAACTTGAGTTTGGATCGAGTGGTACTGCGGGTTTTGTGGCCCAGCCATGAAATTGTCGCTGCATACGAGTGATATTTATGCACACAGTATGCTTGGTTAAAGATTCATTGATAGCGGCTTGGGTTTTGGGTCTTCTATATAATATGAATATGAATCCTCACGCCTATAAATAGCGTCTCTTTTTTTCGGTGATTGATGTCGATGATCATATGTTACGGACATGCAACTGGTGGTTTTGGAGTGCATATTTAATTTTTGAAATAAAATTAGAGGTAACGTCAATTCCAAATGAAATCACATGCAATATGAGCCACATTATTACAAGTTTCACGGTACAAATAAGGGTCCGTTTGGTTTTTCTCCGTTTCACGTTCAGAAAGCAAAATTTCACTTTCAGAAAGTTGAAAGTTGTTTGGGTAGAATATTTTGCAGAAAAGCACATCCTGAAAGTACATTCAAACAGTAGCTGAAAGTGAATTTCTGAAACGTAACTATTTGAAACTTTTGAAAAGTAGGATGTTATTTGACCATACTACTCTAAGTTTAATCTCTTATTTTTTTATTTAAAAAATAGTTAATTCATTAAAAATATAATTATTTTTTAATAATAATAATTAGGTATCAATTTTTTTAGTATTATAAATTGAGTAATTAATCATATTAATTTTTAGCATTAATGTATAATAAAAATTACAAATCTTTATTACATCTTTTAAAATTACAAATTAAAAAATACAAATAATTAGAGATCAAATTTTTAGCACTATAGATCAAAATTTATGTTATTTATAATCTTTATTACATTTTTTAAATATTTTCAATATATTACATTTGTATAATAAAAATTATAAATCATTATAAATCAATGTCCTTTTTGATAATTGTACATTCAAAAGCACATTTCACTATCACAAACCAAACAACTTTCAATGTATCAAACTGACTTTTGAAAAAATATATCCAAACATAAATTTCATTACAACAACTAACTTTCATTAAACTGACTTTCACCAAATGAACTTTCACCAAATGAACTTTTGACAAACTGAAAACCAAACGCACACTAAATCTTCTCCAGTGATGCCCGCAGTCCCTCCGCGTGGCCCACGAAAAGACAAAGCCACGTGTGTTTGTTTATATATTGACTTTTTGATATAAAAAAATTTAAAATATGGGGAATAATTTTTCCCCCATTGGATCATTTATGACGGTGTCATAACTCATATTTTGTCCGATAAATAATATGAAGTATTTTTTAAAAATTAAATATTTAAAAATAATATTTTAAGATGTAATTATTATTTTGAAAAAATATCTCAAATGAATAATTATTTTATATTTATTTTAAAGTAGCACTCTATTAAATAAAAATAAATAAAAAATAATATTAATTTAAATATAAATAATTATTTTATAAAAAATGAAATTTAATTAAAACTATTTTATATTTTTTAATCAAGGGAGGAATGAGTTATCTTCGGACGTGGCCATGCAAGAAGATGAGGAGGCCCATTAATTGGCAGGTTCACGATTGAGGCCTTTGTTGCCTGCCAAGATCACACGTACTTGTCTTTCCTTGAGAAGTTGGTGCACGCAAAGCCTAAAGCCTTCCCAATTTCAGATTGATTTGCCACGGCAACCCTCGACTTCCCCACCTGCTTGGCACATGCTCGATTCTAGCAGCCTCTGGAGAATCTTTGATGAAATATGAAGGTTTGGGGTTCATCAGTTGAAAAGGAGCGTCTAGAGACTTAAGCCCGCTGGCCGTTGTTCCATAGAACATGATCACTTTCACGTCCAGACCCACAAGAACAATATTATTGGTCCGCTCCGCAAATAGAGGACTAGATCGTAGCAAATAAGGTTCTCTGTTTTGGAATACTAAAATGTGATTAGTTTTCAATTCCCTAATCAATTGGTATCTCTAAATCTATATAAAGGGACCATATTATTATGTTGTGTAAGGGAATTGTATCCTATATTAAGAGGGAGGTTAACAAAGATCCTCACTCATATTAGTCCTCAAAACGGGATTCGTTTATCACGTAAGGGAGTTGATTTGATTTGTAATCCTTCAAGTGAAGGAATTTTATATTATTTGTAATTATCATTTGAGTTTATTAATGAAAGGCTTCTTCACCATCATTTTCTCAACAAGGTATCATGAACCATGGTTACAACATTGGGCTGAGTAGCTGTTTCTTCTTGCATCTCACTTCAAGACCAAGGCTGAATAACAAGAAGTGGGCCAAAAAATCAAGAAACCAGATCCAAGCCTTTAAGAAGTTAGCAAACGAGATTGCTTTACACAAAATGATGCGTTTTCCTATGTCCACAGGAAACGACAGCAAGAAGAAGCATCTGGAATCCACGCAGAGAAGGTTGCACAGATCGTTGATTATGCCCAAAACAGCAATGGGAAAGAGACTCTAATTTAGGTAAAGATGGCGCGTTTCCTGGTTGTTGAACAATTGTTGATTCCCACCCAAAGAATCCGTCGAACTCATAAAAAAAACTTGTATAATAAAATTTTACAATAAAAAAACGAAGATGGATTTGACGCATGCGAATACGGCCATTCAACTTGAATATTGCCATTTCAAGGCTGGCACTTGGCAGGCCATTTAGATGCACCCATTAATTCCATAAGCAAGGGTCCATTAATTCTAACGTTGGCTACTTGGCCACGTGACCACGCTCCCCTGGGACGTGAAGTGGTCCACAATATTTATAGATCATTTAACAAAGACAAAATATCTTGTGCTTAAATTAAATATTTTCGTTGGGGAGATGACAAGTCCTGCGAGGAAACTATGTTTAAGGAAGTGCGCTTCATCTACCACTTCAGACGTGCATTTAAGCTCATAAATAACTTTGTAAAGTTACATCACAAAACCACAGCGTCCGCGTGAACAGGGGTTTGTGAGGGAATGGAGGCAAAGGAATAATGGACACTTGTCACCAATCCCACGTTGAAAGTCTAACAAATGATATAAGATTTATAACTGTGAGGGTCCTTCCTAATGTTTTGATTCGAACTCCTTCTTTGAGTTTATGCTCGTTACATTAATACTTTCATTGAGAGTCAAACTATAATCTAAGTTGTTCTCACTTCATGGCACTTCACTCGACCACAACAAACTAGCTTGGTAGAAGTGGCTATCAAAACTTATAATTTAGACAGCTCTTGCTCCACGACACTTCACTAAACCACAGTCTTGTCAGAATCCTCTGTGGGTAATCTTTTTGAGACAACAAGATCAAAGATAGTAATACTACCACCAAACAAACTAACCTATAGGGTAAGAGATATCCTTACACTTATAAAACCCACCATTTGTAAAGCTTTTCGACTTATGACAATGCCATCTCATTGAGAGTCGACATTTGATTAACTACTTTAAGTGATT